AACACTCGGCTTTGGGGGTTCTGACTCCCAGCATAAACAGTCATTCAACACCATTTGCAGGGGATCAGATCTTTAAAAGCGGAATTGTTGTGGAAGACAGAGACAAAATGGAGTCCCGACCTAAGGTGTAAGGAACATGCGTTCGAGCAGGCCACACCGGCTGTAAAATCCTCGTGCAGGCGTGGTGAGTGCTCATGTGCATTTTACAATCGCTGGTTGACTTGACGGCGGCGATTTTTTAACAACCATCATGCCAGGGTTCGGTACTGTTGGGAGTCGAGCGCTTTACACATTGTACTACTTATTGTGGCCAGATAAAAGGGTTACTCGGGAAGCCCATCCGTCGGAATCTAACAAGGGAATTCAATCCACATCAGTTAACATTACCTAGAACGTTCTGTTTGTATGTGCCATTCCGGAAGTCATTTACAGTGAGGTTCTCCGGCAAACTTGATAAAAAAACTCCTTTTTCTACCTTTTCAAGTATCCAGCCTGGAGAATGAGGTAGATGGGTTACGTAGAGATGTGAATCTCGCCTGGTGAGGGCGTCGTGTGTATGGTAGGTGTGAACCTCTGAGAGTGAGTCCGCATGTGATAGGACGAGTGTCACGTGACGTCATAGTAGTCTAGTGTGTACGCGTGGGAACGGCAATCAAGAGACCGATTCAACGACGCTATACGCATGAGTATTGACCCCGTTCATGAGGAGGGGATCGATCAATAGTTTAACACATGCTTGCAAGAAATGCCGGCTCTGTGTGGTATATGCTATATCTGTCAGTCCCAAATCAAAAGCACACAGGGGGAAAGTGAACAAGAGATCTGTTGGATTTTGTTCAGCTTAAATGGGGAACTATCTCTCTGATCACTATTACACATCGTACTGGAAAGAGCGCTTCTGTCACCCGCTATCCTCTGACATTGGACTGATATCTCAGGAGATGAGTGACCGGCTTGATTGAAGACACCGTGTGGGATTCCTCTGATGCGAATCTGTTTGTTATCTGGTGGGGAAACAAGCAGGTAGTTACTTCACAATGAAAGTCCATCCAGTAAGCTAAGTTCATTTTGGCGAGCGGTTAACTGATGACCACACCAGTCGCAATGTTTACTTTACTTGTTATCTGAGTCTCCAGCTATCCAGTTGCTAGAGCGGGGGGTGTTTATTTACCGCAAAATCTTGAACGAACATCAGCTAAGTGCGTCAAAAGAACTGTGCCTTCGACTACTTTGAGGACTATCAGAAGAGTGTTGAAAACATCCACAACCAGATTTGCACTACAGAAAACGTACATTAAGGTGTAAGAGTAAGTACACGATATCGAGGTTTACATTTTAGGATAGCCTGGGTCTCCCTTAGCAGATCGAGCGGCGGGTTATAATGTTCAGCCAAAGACGTGCAAGGAAAAACGTTTGGCTCTTGACTTAACGAATAGAATTTTGGATAAGTCTTCGCTTCGGCGAACTTACGCGTTTTCTTCACGAGCTCTCCCCTCCTGTAATTGGGAGGTAAAGACCGACCCCTGTGCATTTACTCTTTCCCTT